TTATTTGTTGATTCTCGTCAATTGTCATATGGTGGGAGAACTTATCTGATCTTAATTGGATTTATTTCCATGAAAAAAAAAAAAAAAAAATGGATTTATTTTACTTGTAAGTTGAATTATTTGGGTAGTTCATAGTTTTCTTACAAATCTATCTTACTTGAATTTTTTTTAGGTTTTTTTTTTTTTTTTTTTTTTTGAAATAAGTGATGTAAATGAAATGGAATGTAGCCTAAATTCTCCATTTTAGCCATTTGTTTATCATACATGCATGTTTCTTGATCATTGTGTAAAAATGTTTATCTTCATGTTCAGTATGCACAAGCTTTAGCAACTATTGAAGGTTACAGTGGCTATGGTGCAGAACAAGGCAATAAGGTAACTTTTCTTTCTCCCTGCTCGAATCTGACTCACGACACCAACTTTAAATAGCCATTTTTCCAACTAGCTAATGGAAAAAAATACAAGTTTATCACGTTGATAAATCAATTTTAGTTTATCAAATGACGAATGTATAAATAATCTAAATAAAAATTGTTGATTTATTTACAATTTTACCATTAATTTATCAAGTTGATAAAGTCTAGCTTCTTTAAACAAGGTAACAACATAACAAAACCTTTCCTAGGACTTAAAGTGTTTTATTATTTTTATTCTCTTGAATTTTTGACTTATCATATTCATAACAATTTTGAACTTTTCTCACCATTATATTACTTTATTAGGTTGAAACTTAACTTTTTACTCCTATGCAATTTTTATAACCAATATGGACTTATTAGACCATCATCACTCATGATATAAAAATTTATACCATCCCTCTCTCTCTACCATTTTCTTACTTCTCCACATCATCTATACCACAATACAATATACTTTCTCCAAAAATCATTCCACTCATGGTATAAAAAAAAAAATTTACCACCACACTTTCTCTCTCCTATATATATTAGTTATACACTTAATTTAATTATGATTATATTTCATTTTATTATTGAAAATAACTAATTACTATTTGTAATGTTAATTAAATAAAATAAGCAATTTATGTAGAAAAAAAGCGAATTCAAAAACTATATAAAATTATATTAATATGGGTGTCTATGTGTAGGGCTTGAAAAATTATGAACAATGGTAATTTTTTCATAATATTTTTACTTTATAGTTCTTTCTTAAAATGCAATTGAAAAAAAAATAATAAAAGATATAAAATAACCAGGTCGTAGCCTGGTTGATTCATATTTCACGTGGACCAAAGCAAAAAGTTTACCATGTGATGATATATACCATCAAATGGTATAGTTTTATACCATCAAGGTAGTAAAAATTTGCAGATTTTTGATGTATTTTTACACCGTGATATAAAATTATACCACAAGTGTTAAATGCTAATAGGTTTTAGGTCTGCTATATTCATTTTATTTTATCTTATTTTATAAGAAAAAAATAAGTTGATGTAATTTCATATAAAATAAAATAAAAATATAATATATTAATATAAGTAAAATAAGTTTTTTTTTTTGAAGAAATAAATTAAAATAAGTTTGGACCAAATAAGTTTAGAAACTTCAAATGAAATAAGTTTAGACCAACATGTATATTCAATTAATTTATTTTTTTTATTATTTTTTATTTTTGAAGGAATATTCAATTACTTAACATCAATGAATTTTTTTTAATGCAAAACTTAAATGAACTTGTTGTCTATAATTATATTATGAATTTATAAAGTCCATATTTTTTTAATATGTGGTGAATAGAGTGTTGGTAGGATTTCATAAAAAAAAAAAAAAAAAAAAAAAAAAAAAAAAAAAACAGGAAAAATTGCATTAAATAATACCACCTTTCACCCGTCCACTAAAAACAAGTCGACTTTTTTATTATCTCTAACTCTAGATAATACCACCTTTAGGGGGTGTCCGCTTTAAACAAGTCATGACCTGTTGTTGACTTGATTAATAGGTATATGGGACACGTGTCAATGTTTGATTGGGTTAAAAAAAATTAATTTGTTTTTTATTTAATATTTTAATTTTTAATAGGTAATAATGTTAGTTATTATTATTATTTTTTGTAAAAAAAAATAAATAAAAAAAACCCCCTCCCCTACCAGCCACCCCTTCCCCTCCCTGCCAAGGCAGCCAGCACCTCTTCCCAGCTGTCCGGCCCTTCGGCGACCACCTGTCGGCGCCACTGCCTCCTCCGGAAAAGCCGACCCTAGCATCCCACCCCTTCCAATTACCTACCCGACTCCCACAACCCCATGAAAACCGCTATATACTCCCTTTCCCACCACCAAACCCCAAAAGTTGTTCGGGGGGGAGGGGAGGAGCGACGGCTGACAATAGGGGTGGGGGAAGGGTGTTGATCCGGCGAGGGAGGGATTGGGCGCTGTCGGGAGTGGGGTTGGGAGGGCGTTTGGTGGTTTTGCGTGGAAGTTTTGCGAGGACGTGTAGGGTTCAACGCAACCACAATCTCGACCCATCCACAACCACCACCAAAATCTCCCCCAACCACCCTTAGGCGCTGATATCTCCCCAACCAGACTGCCGCAACTCCCCAAATTCGATTTGGGTTCAACTTAGGGTTTATTTTGGGTGGTGGTAGTTCGAATTATGGAGGTTGTGTTGGTGTGTGGTGGCTGGTACAGTGGTGCGAGGGTGTTGTTGATGCGAGGTTGTGTGGGGTCGTGGGTGCGAGGATGTGGGTGTGGTTTATGGTGCGAGTTTGCGTGGCTGGGTTCATGGTACAAGCCTACTAGGTGCTGTGTGGTGGTGCAGTGATGCAGGGGGTGATGTGGTGTATGGTGGTTGGCTGTGCAGTGGTGGTGTATGGCGTGTGGTGGTTGGTGCAGTGGTGGTGTATGGCGTGGGGTGGTTGGTGCAGTGGTGGTGTATTGGTGTGTGGTGGCTGGTGCAGTGGTGGTGTTGCTGGGGTTGTTCATTTAATTTTTTAAAAAAAAATTAATTGTTTTTTTTAAGATAAAAATATTTTAATTGTAATTAACAATTATTAAAAGTTGTTATTAAGAGTTAATTACTTTATTAAACGAAGTTATTAAAAAGAAAAAAGAAATTTTACCGGTCATTCAGGTTGCAGATTAAATAACTTGTTTAAACCGGACACTCTCCAAAGGTGGTATTATTTAGAGATAATCAAAATGTCAACTTGTTTTTATTGGACGGATGAAATGTGGTATTATTTAATGCAATTTTTCCAAAAAAAAAAAATTGAGTATTGGTAGGTCATATTGGCCCAATCTGACTTTTTGGCCCAATGCTGGCAGGTCTTATATGCCCAACTTAAAAGTAAAAAATTAGACTTTTGCAATATTTAACTATCAATAACTATATACTAAAAGACACACCAACAATGACACGTGTTATTTTTTGGTGTGTCCAAAAAAAAAAAAAAACTACTTAGGAAACAAATCTTATATATAAATAGAAGATTAAAAAGATTTAATGTATCCTTCCACTATATATATTGATACCATAAGCTAAAGTTAAACAAATGAAAATCAAATTCTTAACATAATTTGTGACATACATAGTACTATATACTACTCTTATCATTTTTACAACAAGGATTATTTTTTTAAAAAATATTTTTGTATTTAAGTATGTTTGAAAAGCTTGCTCAGAAAGATATGAATTTTTTTTCTAAGCCAGTTGATTATTGAGAAGAAAAATAAATACCGCGTAAGAGGGAAAGGATTAATAGTGTGTAAAAAGTAAATCTATTTACGAATTAGATATATAGTTGTAAGATATTCATTTGGTTAAAAGAAGAAATAATATAAATTAGTTAGTGAAATATATATAAAAATACATATATAAGTATTTTAAATTATTTATTATGCTAATAATAGACTCTTTCATAATCAATTCATTTTACAAAGTAGTAACTTAAATAGATTTTTTTTATAATTAAATATAGTGTTAATAATTATAGAGTAGTAATTGAAAATTACCGTGCACGGCACGGGACCTAAACTAGTTCATTATAAAACTTTGACCAAATGTAACATTACTAATTTAAAATAAAAAAATTTGTCATATAAAATGCTGTTGAATTAGTCTAAATATATAGCTTATCAACTTTTACTAACTCAAATCCAACATGCTAATGATCAAAATTGTATTTAACAAAAGTGATACGGAGTGCTTAATACAAAGTATTACTAAATTAGGTACGTATATCAGTATATGGAAACCTATGAAATACAAAAATTTTCATTTAATCTTCTTTATATTACAAATTATAACACATTCAAATTGTGACAGGAGTTGAGGAAGGCAATTGCTAAAACAATCTATAAAGATAGAGGTATTACGAGTGATGAAATATTTATATCAGATGGAGCACAATGTGACATTTCTCGCCTGCAGGTAAAATATATAGTAGCTTTTTACTTCCTAGGTTTATTTATTTTTTTTATTAATTTTTGAGGGAATTTCTTACATATTGTTCTAATTAAACGTTTTAAAAACAATTTTTTTATTGTTTTTTTTTTTTTTTGTTAAATATTTTAACACGCAGATGTTAATGGGATCCAATATAAGCATAGCCGTACAAGATCCTACATTTCCGGTAATAATTTAAGACATCTCTCTATTATACACTTGGATTTTTTTTTTTTTGTTTGTTTGTTTTTGTTACGGAGCACAATAAATTAATGTACTCATAAGACATAATTTTATGTCTCATCGTGTTACTCTAAAACATAAAGTTATATTCACCTGATTTTTATTTATCTGAACTTATTTAATCTTATATGAACTACATGTACTTATCTAAACTTATTAGACCTTATAAAAACTTATTTCAGTTGTAATTTGAACTTGGACAATCTTTATCAGAACTTATTGTTCCTGAACTGAAGTTATAGAACCTGAAATAAGTTAAAATAAGGTGAACAAAACAGATCCTGAGTCAAATATAGTGTGCACGGGACACAAATGAAATTTTACAACTAACTAATGCAAGAATCAAAATTTTACATGACATATCTCAACCCTTTTGTTGATCAGGCCTATGTTGATTCAAGTGTTATAATAGGCCAAGCCAGCAAATTTCAAGAACAAACAGGAAAGTACAATAACATTGTGTACATGAGCAGTGGCCCTGAAAACAATTTCTTTCCAGATTTGAGCAATACTCCTAGAACAGATATCATTTTCTTTTGCTCTCCTAATAATCCAACAGGCTATGCTGCCTCTCGTCGAGAATTAGAGCAGCTTGTTGAATTTGCAAAGATTAATGGCTCAATTATAATCTTTGATTCTGTATATGCAACTTATATCTCGGATGATAGCCCTCGATCAATCTTTGAAATCCCCGGTGCCAAGGAGGTGTGTTCACTTCCATTTACTCACTCGATGAATATAATTTCATTTAGGGATGGAAAACAAGGCTTCAGTCCAAGTTTTTGTAATTTGAGACAGTTGGTGCCGTGTAATCTGGTACATAGCCTAGGTTAATAAGAACTTGTATGTGCAGGTTGCTATCGAAGTATCTTCTTTCTCAAAGCTCGCCGGGTTTACAGGAGTAAGATTGGGATGGACAGTAGTTCCCAAAGATTTATGCTACTCAAGTGGCTTTCCAGTTATTAATGATTATGACCGAATTGCATGCACCTGTTTTAGTGGCGCCTCTAACCTTGCTCAAGCCGGTGGCCTAGCGTGCCTTTCTCCACAGGGCTACAAGGTTTCTTTCCAGAATTTGGAAAATTTCTAACTTTAAAACTATTTATCTCATAAAAGTCTATTTAAATTGCTTTTTTCTTCTGGTTTTTTTTGCAGGCCTTACAATCTACAATCGATTATTACATGAAGAATGCTGAAATGTTGGCTGATACATTTAAATCATTCGGATTAAAAGTGTATGGTGGTCAAAACGTACCATATCTGTGGGTTCATTTTCCAGGCTCAAAATCTTGGGATATTTTCAATCAGATTCTTGAGAAAACTCATATATTAACAGTTCCAGGCAGGGGATTCGGTAACAAAGGTGAAGAGTTCATTCGAGTTAGCGCCTTTGCTCCCAGAGACTCTATTTACGAAGCATCCATGAGGCTAACTAACTATTTTAGTGAAACAACTCCAAAGAAGCTATTAATGAAGCTTCCATGAGGCTTAAAGGGAACCGATCTAATGATCATTTTCTCCTCCATCGTTGATTTCACAATAGAATACCACTCATACTCATTCCAATTATCACAGTGAATATTTCAAATTCATATCGCATTTAATGATGTAATATAACTTCAAATAAGCGCTTTCAGAGTAATGACGGTATCATCAAACATTTTTTTCTTAGTTGTTAAAGGTAAACGATATCAATGCAAAGTAAAGAGCTCAGTGAACTCCACAATGGACCCAACCAAAAAACAGGAATAAAGGGAACTTACCTACTAAAATTTACAATGTTGAAGCAATATGAAAGTTTGATTTTAAAAAGCTTGTAATAAACCACAGCAAGTATTCTACATTACCAAGCAAAAACCAGTTTTCCCAAGAATTTACCAAATAGCACAATTAGTTGCAAGGCATCATACATCATTACTATAATCTCGCGTAAACACAGTACATGGTATGAAAGATAACCCCTATGCCATGGAACTTAGTCATAGTACATACATTTCAGTAAAATATGGTCTGTGCATCTGAAAATGATCGGCTGAATGGGACTTGAAATATAGTTCGGATTTCACTGGCATCAGACAATACATGAGGACTACAGTAGTCGAATAGTCAATACTGGGCTACTGCAGCAGCCTATTTTAAACAAAATTTAAGCTTGGCAGCAACTACATACCATCCTAGTTATAAAAAATGTTCTTTCAAAAGACCCATTTTAATCGATGTAGATTATGATCCTAGCCTATTTGTTTGATATGAATGAACCAACACTCAACCCCTCTCTTGAGCTTCTATATATAAATATAACTCAATTTAGCTATACCAGTATTGTGATTTTAAACATAGTAAAATCATACTTGAGATACACCTACTACTGCTTAGCTCATTGATAAAACCAAGGATTCTTTCACATACCCTCAACCTGATTGTGGGATTCAAACAAGCAATTATATCAAACAAACCAACCAAAAAGCCAGGATCATAATCTAAATTGAATAATAATGCATAATTTTGTTGGAATCCATATAAACTTCAAAAGAGTTCTAAATTAAACTCGTTTTATAGCTTAAATTGAGTGAGCTATCACATGCAACTATCTCATGCATATATGACATCTTTCTTCCTGTTTACCATGAATTTGTATTAGCAATATAAGAGCCTGACCCAAAAATTATCTCACACAACTATATCGGTGCAATATTCATAACTAGGCCATTTGTATATCATAAGCAGTACTAGACTACTAGTACAATCACAATGCCACAAAACAGGTCAAACAAACATTTCAAAATAACATCCCCAAATTCAAGTGAAAATATAATGCCTTTTAAAGGCTCTTTTGAGCAGACGAAAGAATCCCTAAAATAATCTTACCACTACTCGGAAACCCTCATCGCCCATTTGAACTGAAAAATGCAATAGCTATATCCAAACAAAGAAGGTAGCTTAATTCAAACAGGAGGTAGTATCCTCTACTAATTTCTCGACGTTTTTGTTTGACACTCTACTAAAACAACCCAATTGAATTATTGGATATAGGTTCAAATTGAAGCTATTAAATTGCTCAATCCGGCCCCTAAACCTAAACTACTCCGGCAAAAGGTTCAAGTAATCCATATTACTCTTCCCCTCCACTAAACAATCATCGCAAGGGTCAAGTAACAACTCCAAACTAGTAAACTCAGTAATCCCAAATCACACATTAAAGCATTTGACAATCATATACCCATATAAACACAACACAGAAACCCCCTAAAATTCATCAATTAACTGCATATAAACACACTTAATAACCCTAAATTCAACCGATATAAATACCCAATCAAGCACAACCACAAAATTTAAAAGAAAAAACCCAACAAAAACTGATTCAAGCAATATAAATTACCCAATTAAACAAAAACAACAATCAAAACACAGAATTATATATATGAAAAAAAAAAAAGCAATAAACTGATTCAAAATTGTAGATCCAACATTTCCAAACTCAAAAGAGTAATTATAATAACCAATCCTCAACAAAACACAAGTTTGATAACAAAAACTAAATACCAAAAACTACTTTAACATAATAATTCGATTAAATTCCAAAAGAGGAGAGAAACCCTCACTCAAAATCTGGAAACCTCAATCAATCACCTCCAGCTTTCTGGTAAACATAGGTAAGACCACACTTACCACAATAATGGCGATCAAAATGATTCGCCATGAAAGTCCCAGCACCACACTCAGCATTAGGGCACTCCTTCCTCAACCTCTGAACCTTAGCAGAATCATCAACCTTGTAAAACTGCAGAACAGCGAGCTTAACCTTCTTCTTCTTGTGCTTAATCTTCTTAGGCTTAGTGTAAGTCTTCTTCTTCCTCTTCTTGGCACCACCACGAAGACGAAGAACAAGGTGAAGAGTGGATTCCTTCTGAATGTTGTAATCGGCTAAAGTGCGGCCATCTTCGAGCTGTTTTCCGGCGAAGATGAGACGTTGTTGGTCTGGTGGGATGCCTTCTTTGTCCTGGATCTTGGCTTTGACATTGTCGATGGTGTCCGAGGATTCGACTTCTAGGGTTATGGTTTTACCCGTTAGGGTTTTCACGAAGATCTGCATTTTTCTGGGTTGAGGATGAAGATGAGGGGGTTTCTCTCTCCTCTGATTTTTGAGGCTGATGCTGAAATGGGGGAGGGGAAATTAGGGTTTTTGGGGATTGCTTGGGTTTTTGTTGAGTGGGTTGTTGTGTTACTAGTTCAACAGCCCATTGGACTATTTGGACTGATTGGATAATGGATAGTGGAATGGACTTATTGGTTTTCAATTGTTTTTTTTTTTTTTGTGTCTGTCGTTTGTCGTAGAGGTGTCAAAAACTGACCGATCAAACTAGCTAATACTCTCTCGCTCCTCCGTTTTTTTCTTTTTTTTTTTTTTTTTTTTTTGAAAGCATCAATTGGTCTCGTATTGTAAAAGTAAGATGGGGACTATGAAGAGAAAATATATGAGGGATAGTAGATATTTTTGTTATTTAAGTGGAGATTATGGAAAAGAGAAAAATGATAAAATAATTTAAGTGGGATTTAAAGTAATAAAGAAAAATTATAAAATATAGTATTAAGTTACCAAATATAGAAGTGATGTATTTACAAAAAAAAAACCATATAAGGGAAGTGACGAGTTTAAAAAAAACGGGGGGAGTAATTAATTTGTATATATTAACTACTATTAAAACAAGTCATGCTAATATCATTAATGGACACATGTCAACTTCTTATGGAAAAAAAAAAATTCCGCATACTTCTCTCAAAATGAAAAAAAGAGAATTAAAAAAAACATGCAACACATGTGACTTATCTCGTGTCTAGAGGTGTCCACTGTGCGAGTCGTGCGAGATGGGTCAGGGTTAGACGGGTCGTGGGTTGGCGTTTCATGACACACGACACGACACATGTAGGGTAGGGTGGGCCGGGTCGTGGGTTGGGTCGGAGAAGTTGGACACTAAACCTGGGCACGGGCCGGGTTGGCCGCGTGCCGCCTGAACGGCCCGCCGTTCGACGCAGCCCGGCACGGCCCGCTCCCCAGCCCGGCACGGCACGGCAGTTGAGCTTCGTGCCACAGGTCGTGCCACGGACAGGGTTCTGAATTCCCAGGCACGGCCCGGCACGAGCACGGCCAGGGCCCGCCGTGCTGGCCCGCTGGCACGGCCCGCGTGCCCAACGGACATATTACCGTTTAAAAGCAACGGCTAGTTGCTTAATTAGCCAAAAAAACGGCTACTTAACGGCTATATTTTTGCCAATTTGCTCCCCAAAAATTCTATAAATACCCACCTCCATTTCATTCCCAAATCACAAAATCACAATCTCTTCTTCGTATCTCTTATATTCTCTAAATCTCTAATAATCCTTATTTTCTTAAATTCTCTAATTATTCTCTTAAATTCTCTAATTATTTTCCTAATATCGGAAAAAATTAAAAAGTTCGTAATCGTAATTAGTGGAGCGTTGAAGCACGGTTGTAAGATCTAAACTAATCTTTAATTTATTTGTTTTATTGTTATTATTTGAATAATCTTGTTTAATTATTATTGTTGTTAATTGTTATTGTTGTTGTTATAATTGTTGTTATTAATTATTATTATTGTTACAATTGTTGTTATTATTTATTTTTGTTGTTATTGTTATTGTTATAGTTGTTGTTATTAATTATTATTATTGATATTTTTATTGTTAAAATTGTTGTTATTAATTATTATTATTATAGTTAACCAATTTTTATTAAAAAATTAATTGTTAATTATGGCATCGAACAACCCATCATCTAGGTCTAGGGCGAAAGGCCGACTTACCCGTAGTAGTAGTTCTAGGGAACCAACAAATACAACGAGCCCCCAAATTTCGAGTCCAACTAATGACCCCATTTACTTCCCCCCGGGCTATGAGCCATATTATATGTCGGGAATTCCACCACCACCACCAAACCAATTTCCACCACCACCACCAAACCAATTTCCACCACCACCACCAATATCAAAATCCACAACAATTCCCACAATTCGGTCAATTCCCACCTAATTATATTGGTGATCAACAAAACTATTATTCTAGCCAAAGTAGCCAAGAAAGTACCAAAATTCCCTCCGGTTCTACCCCTTCTACTACCACTACTAACGCAAACACACATCATGAATGATTAACCGAAAGTGAGATGGTACTTTTGAAAAACCGAAGGAGTGAGGTATGGCGTTATTTTGTCCTAAATAAACAGGGTCAAACATATGCAAAATGTAAAACATGTAATGATGTATTCACGGAATTTACCAAATCCGGGACGGGACACTTAACTAGACACATGAAAGCTTGTGCAAAACCAGCTAGTGATCCAACCCAGCCCAAAATTTCCCAATTCCATCCATACGGCTTTACATACAACTATGAGAGGGATAGGGATGAACTAGGAAAAATGATAGTACACGCCGAACAACCTTTTCTTTTCTCGGAAAGTGACC